TTTTTTTGGAGAGATTTTCACTGTAGGGCACGTGCGCTCGCCAGACAGACAGAGAGAGACATAGAGACAGAAAGCGAGAAATCACCCCCCAGGGGGGATGGTCACGCCGCAATCCCTTCTCCTCCATTCTCCCCTCGGGATCTTGGGCACGCACGCACACGCGCCCGGCGTGAGTTTTAAGCCATCGGGTCCGGGACGCGAACCGCGGTCGACTACGTGGGAGTCCAGCGACATAGCCATTACGCTAACTGCTGGTTCCCTTGAGTCCTTTATTTTGAGTCCTCTGTTAAGCCTTTCCTTTTTTTGTTACAACGGGAAAGAGCAGAGAGGGGTGTGGAAACAGCTGGGAGTTGTGCTCGGATCCCTGCAGGGACGACTCCTGCGTGCTGGGTAGAGGGCTCGGCGAGCCCAGGGCTCAGCGGAGAGCACTGGAGACGTCAGAGGTTGTCAGACAAATGCAGGGAAAGCAGAGCGCGCCGGCTGCCTGAGGCTGCGGGCGCTCACACTCGGGCATGGCCGCTCACGGCAGGTTTACTCCCGTCCGCCCTGCAGTGACTACAAGCTGGGGCACACTGGTCCGAGAACGTCAGGCCTCAAGCCTGTCACGTGCTCTGAACCGGCCTGTGGAGCTTTAAGTTGGTACCCGCGTTAACTCTCACCTTGGACTTATAGGCCTTTCTCTTCTTCTCCGGGCCTGAGGGCTCTTTCTTTTGTACCTACCAAACCAAAGAGTTTCTGGTTCAAAGTCTGATGTTGCAACAAAGTTATATTGTGGGTTATTTTAGAAAGCTTAACGGGCTTACCAGGCTGTATACTCCAATGTTTATTTCAAAGTCATTAGACACATCTTGCCTGGAAAATAAAGCATTAAACAAAATGGTTAAGAAAAACCTTACGCTTTAACATTAAAAAAAATGCCACAGATATTTTTATAAGACTCCAAGAGTAAAGGAATCCACTGTGTTTTTGACTAAAGACAGAAAAATTGGTAAAATGGTCTACTTTTTCCTGTAATACAAGTCAGAAATATTTTCCTCAGTATTTTACAACTCAGTATCTTCAATTACTAAAGTAGTGATCTTTTTTCAAATTGTATTTTGACTCTGTAGTTCTAAATATTAATGTCTTTTTATTAAGATACAATGTTAAATATGAGATTTAAAACATACAGAAAAAAACTGTGGTCCAGATTTAAAATATATTATCTCTTCAAAATATTGAATACCAAGAGTCACATTGAAAGACCTGTTTTTTTTTTTTTTTCTTTTGGGAGAGGTTTTTGCTATAGGGCGCGTGCTCTCGCCAGACAAACAGAGAGAGACAGAGAGACAGAAAGCGAGAAATCACCCCCCGGGGGAATGGCCATGCCGCAATCCCTTCTCAGCCATTCTCCTCTCGGGATCTTGGGCACACATGCACATGCGCCCAGTGTGAGATTAACCCACCGGGTCTGGGACTCAAACCACGTTCAACTACATGGAAGTCCAACAACATAGCCATTACACTAGCTGCTGGTCCCAAGACCTATGGTTCTTAACAGAAGGAAAAGATCGGAAATATTTAAAAGTTAAACCAACAAATTGAAAATTATTAATTGTCCATATAAATAGAATGAACATAACATAATTTCACAGATTTTAAGTGTCACCTGCATACTTACAGTGTATATTTTTAAAAAAAGAAGATATTTGCGCCATCGAAAGCCTAATTTACTTACAGAGCAAATGTCGTAGTGAACACCAGTGCGTCGCCGCTGAGGGAGTCGGGAGTGCTCGCCAGCGGGGTGGCTACCATGTTCTCAGCTCCCGCTTTCAGGATAATTAAGTAATAGTAGTTTGCAGCATCTGCAGGAAGAAATCAACTGCATCACATAATTGGCAAAGCGCCCAGGAATAACTACTGCAAATGATTTATATAAAATTTATTTTAAAAACTATTCAAATCAACTATCTAGACAAAAAAAAAAAAAAAACAAAAACAAGTAAGAGAAGTAGACAGCCTTCACCCTGCTGGCAGGACTGTCAAGGTCTCGCTCGGATGTGTCAGTTGAAATAACTTTGTTCCACTCAATAGCTTTCATTTCTGCTAACTTTGCACTTGACCTAAAAAGTCTTTCTCTCTTTTTCTTTTTCTGTAACTGTGCCAGAAGGCACATGTACTCCCTGGAGAGAGACAGAGGGGAGGGGAAGCAGGGAAGCTCCCCCCGACAGGCCATGGTCTTACCACAGTCCCTTGTCCATTCCCCCTCCTCTCAGGATCCTGGGCACCTTCACACGTGTCTCGTGTGCTTTTCACATGTAGGGCTGGGACTCAAACTGCATGGCTGGCCGCGTGGGAGCCGGCTCGTTTTACCAGCATGCCGCAGGCTGGCCCAAGCCCTAATTGTCTAATAGTGGATGCCTCAGAAGGGTTAACTTGTGATTTGCTAAATAAAAAAAAAAGATTGAAATAATTTATGTCTTTTAAATAAATCCTAATAAGGACACGAATGGTCTCTTCACTCCCTGTCACGACTAGCACATCTCAAGGTACGCCCTGTATCACAGGAGGCCCTGCCGACCCACGCCTACTCAGACAGCAGCCCGAGCCCGAGCCGTCGCGTGCCTGTGATGAATGCTCAGGGTTACCGATCCCCGTCCGTTACCTCCCTGTTCCTAAGCTCACGTCTCTTCGTGCCCTGGGAAGTAACGCAGGTGAGAGATGCCCAGTAAATCCCATATAAATCTTGTGCAGTACTTGCTCCTTGGGCGCTTACCCTGTTAACATACTGGCTTACCTGTGCTACAAGGCCTATACCTCGCACACGCATCACTTGTCCCTACGTGTGGAACTGCAGCTGGGTGACGTTCCTAACCCGCGTGATGCAGACGTGACCAAGCAGCAAGCGTCATACCTGGTTTCTGAGCCGTGCTGCAGACGAAGTCGGCTTTCAGAGGCAAGCGGATTTCTGACAACGTGACGGATCCTTTGGATGGGACAAATTCACTCTGGGATGTGGGACTAGCCTTATTCTTCCTCTGAGGCCCTTCGTTCTTCAATCTATTCAGCTCGTCGATCAGAAGCGATCTCTTCTCGGCTATATAAAGATAGGCACATGAGTGCTCTGAACATTAAACTTGCAGCTGCCTTCAAAGGAGAGCCCGTGAAAGAGCGTATCTGTACACTGGCACCGGGCAGAGGACCCGCAGCGGAGGAAGCGCCTCCTTCCAGGGACCGGTGGTAGGTAGCGGTGACCCCTGACTGCCGTGTGGCTCCAAGCCTAGAACCTGGCACCAACCTTTGGTCAGTTTCCTATGTGGTGTTACCTCCCTATCTCAATATGTGGCATCAACACCTCACAGTACCCCATAACAACATTTACAGCTATCGTTCTGGCTAGGCTTAGATGGAGAGAGAAAGGGAGATAAAGAGATGGAGAGAGGAGGACCAGTAGGTGGTGTAATGGCTAGGCCGCTGGACTCCCATGTCATCGACTGTGGTTAAAGTCCCGGACCCGGCCACTTAAAACTCACACCAGGCACGTGTGCATGCGTGCCCAAATCCCGAGGAGAATGGAGAAGGGATTGTGCATGGCCATCCCTCCTGAGGGATGATTTTTCATTCTCTGTCTCTTGTCTCTCCAGCGACAGTGAGCACACACATCCTGTAATAAAAATCTCTCCAAAAAAAAATAATAAAAAGAGAGAGAAAAGACTTTAAAAAGTTTGTGAAAAATGGTATTAAAGTCTAAGTTTATTTGGGGGCAAAAACCATCTTAATATCCAGTCATACGTGTTTATAAGACTCACTTTCCATGAACCCTTTGGGCCCCTTGTACATTTTCATTCTTAGGACTCTTTCCACAACTCTTCAGTGCCTCTCGGCTGTTTACCTCCCACACGAACTACATCTCACTTTACAGGATGCGTTTGCACAAACCTTGTAAGTATGAGAAACAAGAAAAAAAATCAATGGAAGCCGATGATCAGAAAAAGTCCTTTCTGGGACCAGCAGTTAGCATAATGGCTATGTCACTGGACTCCCACGTAGCCGACCACGGTTCAAGTCCCGGACCCAGTGGCTTAAACTCATGCCAGGTGCATGTGTGTGCGTGCCCAAGATCCCGAGAGGAGAGCGGAGGAGAAGGACTGCGGCGTGGCCATCCCCCCTGGGGGGTGATTTCTCTCTTTCTGTCTCTCTGTCTCTGTCTGTCTGGCGAGTGCACGTGCCCTATAGCAAAAACCTCTCCAAGAAAAAAAAAAAAGAAAGAAAAGGTCCTTCCTCTCCACCTGGAGGTCTCTACATGCACCGATGATGCGTTTGCTCTGGTGGAAACGGGGCTGGGCTGTTCCAGGCAGCCACACGTACTTGCAATGAGGAGGAGTCTTTCTGCCTCGGCCTCCTCCAGAGACCCCTTCCCGTGCTCCTCATCCACGCAGCAGTTCAGTGCCTGGCTGGCTTGGTAGATCACGGTCTGCTGCAAGTTGATTTCATTATTGAGTTCCTGTGGGACCAACGAGAGGGGGACAGTCACCCTGTCATCACACCTTCACTTCACGCTTCCAGAGTAGCCTCCTAAACCTGAACGGATTCAAAGGGATTTACTGAGTTCTCTGCCTCACGTATCATTCTAGTCACTCGGGGTGCAGATTAATAAAGCCAGAGCCCCCATCCCCGCGGGCTCACGTCTAGGGCAAGAAGCAGTCCCACCCCGCCCACAGCGGCACACACCTGGATCTTCTGCTTGATGTTAACCTGAGCAGGGAAGGCATTCACTGTCTCGTTCAGTTTCGAAGTCACATCCTCCTTCCGAACAATCACCTGCTTTATTGAAGGACGTTCTGTGTCTTTGAACCTTTGAGACCTGTATGCGTCGATGCTTCAGGAAGTAAGTTACACGCCATTAGAGACACCACACACGTCCTCCACGGAGCTCACCAGACGTCAGCGCCGACGCTGGAGCACTGAGGGCGGGTGCACCCTCCAACGCGTCCCCAGCACAGAGACGCTATCTGGAGAGTGGCTGCGGAGTTACTCCAAACTCGCATACACACGTACCATCGAGGAGCAGAGAGTCGGTCACCCCAACCACTGCCCTCCGTGAGTGCCTTCCCAGTGTCCTCACCTGTACAGAAGGTCCCGGTCTTCAGAACAGATACTGTCACCAGACTCGGCTCGAGGAACACGGGTTCTCTGGAATTTCCCTGGCTTTGGACTCTCCTCGCTCACACTGCTGTCTCTGGATCCCAGTCTAGGCGAGGAGACTGAAGTCTGCGGAAAAGCACGGCATTTAGTACAGGTGACTCCTGAGCGACACAGCATGGCCCGCGACCTGCACGGGCCGGCACCAGGTCTGCTAGCTTCTCTTCTGTGAGGACACAGCACGTGATACGGAGAGCAGACATTTCTGTTCCTCTGACTGTTTTCCATGAGGTCTCCCTGTCCCCGCGTCCACACTGGACATGACGCACATGGGACCCCATGATGTGGTAGGCTGGGACCAGGGGTGACTTGCGGCATGAGGACTCTATGGGAGATGCCTGCCTGTCTCTGTCTCTCACTCCCAGAGGGAGTACATTAACTAAAAAGTGGCTAAAATGAAAAATTTTAATTAAAAAGCTATGTGCAGATTTTCTACTGCACAGGAATTTGAAACCAAGGACCCCGTGTTGTTCAAGGGTTTTCCGTAGACTTCACAGAAAATTAACATTGATTCTAAGTGATACTTCCTTCAGTTCTGAGCAAATAAATGAACTCTTCTCTATTACAGGAAAAGAAATATACCATAAGCTCACTCATCAAAGAACAAAGCAAACTAAAATAACCTCTTAGAAAGGAACGAGGGGCCAGCAGGTGGCATGGAGGTTAAGGCAGCTGGACCCCACACGGCCCCCTGCACTGCTCACATCCAACCTGCTGGCTTGAGGACACGCCTGGCATGTGCATGTGTGCCCAAAATCTCAAAAGGAGAGTGGAGGAGAAGAACCTGCTGCATGGCCATCACGTGGGGGTGGTTTCTCACTTTACCCTCTTTGTCTCTCTCTACCTGTCTCGGGCGAGTACATGCACCCTACAGTAAACTAAAATTTGTTTTCAAGTAAATGCATAGATGAAAGTATAAAAACACCCAAATTGACACTGGCAACTCTTTAAAAACATCTGTGGGGCCAGCCCCATAGCTGGGCAGTAGCGTGCTGCTCGAGAGAAACCAGCTCCCACACACGACCGTGGCGTGAGCCCCGCACCGGCACGGGCTGAGACTCGCTGGGCACACGCGCACGTGCCCGTGGTCTGGTGGGCTGGAGGGCGGAGAGGGGCCCACCGTGGCCAGCCTGTGGAGGGCGCTCCTCCCTCACGCTCTCCATCTTCCTCATGAGCATACACACACTCGATCGTGAACGGGGACAAAATGCTCTGGGCGCAGACGGCAGGGCAGCGGAAACGCGAGAAGCACAGCAAGGCTGGCCCACAGGAGGCCCCAGGCTCGCGTCCCAAGACTGCCATGCCAGGTGTGTGCTGTGCCCATGACCGCTGTGTCAGGCGTATGCAGTGTCTGAGACCACTCTGTCAGGCGTGTGCTGTGCCCGTGACCGCCGTGTGTCGGGCATGTGCTGTGCCCGTGACCGCCATGTGTCAGGTGTGTGCTATGCCCATGACCGCCGTGTGTCGGGCGTGTGCTGTACCCGTGACCGCCGTGTGTCGGGCGTGTGCTGTACCCATGACCACCACATGTCAGGCGTGTGCTGTGCCCATGACCGCTGTGTCAGACGCATGCAGTGTCTGAGACCACTCTGTCAGGTGTGTGCTGTGCCCGTGACCGCCGTGTGTCGGGCATGTGCTGTGCCCATGACTGCCATGTGTCAGGTGTGTGCTATGCCCATGACTGCCATGTGTCAGGCGTGTGCTATGCCCGTGACCGCTGTGTCTGGTGTGTGCTGTGCCCGTGATCCAGGCTGGCGGGGAGGGAGGGGACGGTGGCAGGAAACCCTCTGAGGGCACTGCCTCTGTGTCTGTGCCTGTTTCTGTCTTCCCACTCATAGAAAAAACAATGACTAAAATTTTTCTGATTGAATCCGTATCCTGAACTGCGGTTCCTCAATTCCGAATGAGCCAGTGACAGCAGCTGGCCTCAGCGAGTCAGTGACGTGAACGGTGCCGAAGCTACCTGTAAGTCGCGTTACTGCTGGTTTAATTCAGGGTTAGCTGGAAACCACGGAAGAGTTTTGAGCTCTCTTTTAAAAGAACCGAGGTCGGGTCTACGGAATCCTCCTGGCTGGAGTGCCAAACGTCCACCTGCCAACGGCAGAAGGGGCATCGCATGCTGGCCGGCGCCCTAGCTGAGCAGCGCCCTAGCTGAGCAGCGCCCTAGCTGACCGGCCTGGGCACCGCAGCTCTTCTCACCTCTGGGCTCATGGCGCCGACCGCCTGCGCCCTAGCTGACCGGCGCCCTAGCTGACCGGCGCCCTAGCTGAGCAGCGCCCTAGCTGAGCAGCGCCCTAGCTGACCGGCCTGGGCACCGCAGCTCTTCTCACCTCTGGGCTCATGGCGCCGACCGTCTGCGTTAAGGGGGCCAGTAAGGACATGGAGGAGATGTTCAGGGCGTCTTCCTGCTCCTCGCCGCTGTCTGGCCCCGCACGGTCTGTGTCCCCTGGGCTCTCCATGTCGAGCTCGCCTTCCGCTAGGACCCCGCTGAAGATGTCGTTAATCACTTGGGAACTGTTGACGTCCTCGTCATCATCCACACTCATCTCAACTTCACGTACCGCTTCTGGAGAACAATCGGGTAAGTGGCCCTGTGGTTCCCACCTCGCCGCGTGAAAGGACAGCAGAGGAAGGCCTGACGATCCAAGCCGACTAACTAAGGTGGGGAGACAGAGCACGATAACAGCACGCCCTGAACAAAACCCTGCAGTCAACTAGTCTAACAAGTCGGGGAGTTTTCGAAATCCCAATCCCATTTTCTAGGAACTAAAGTTTGGGTCTATCAAAAGCTGATTCAACTCTTTGGGTTTAAGAAAGAATTTTGAGTAAAACTTGGAACTGCAGGGTAACAGCCAAAAGCTTCAGGCTTCCTTAAAGTGTTCTGTCAAGTAACTCTCCCGTGGAGAGCTGCCCGCTCCCAGGCCGTCAGGGAGAGCCGAGATGTTACTTGGGGCCGGGTTGCGGGTAAGCCGGGGCAGCAGGCTCCGCCAGCAGTCTAGGCAGAGCGCGGCGGCACAGCCTCTTCCCTGGAAAGCGAGAAGTCTCAACTGGACTTTGGCCAGGGTCCACGGCTGACCGTGACCGCCAACAATACCGTTACCTATGAAGGAGCTAGAGCGCTTCCTAGTTAAACAAGCTACCAGAAAAAGGCATTTTGAAATACAGAACACGATATGTCTGAATATGTGCTTCTACAATAGATGAGTTTGTACAGTGTACAGAGTTAGTTAATAGGAAAAAACAATAAAAACCAACCAGTCTGCTGTTCGACCTGTGGGTCTGGCGTTACCATTAAGGACTTATTTTCTTCTAAGAACAGTGTTATTTTCAAAGGGCTAGACTTCGTCATTTCACATTCAGTAAAACCTAAAAAAAATTTAAGAAAGACTACATCAATATATATATAAGAACCTAGAACTTTAAGTTAAGGAATCTTACATACCTTTTCTTCTGATTATAGAACCATGTGTTTTGTTAAAAATATTTAAATCTGGAAATACATAGAAAACCCCCCAGGTATAGTTACCCTCTCTGAATTCCCCATCTCTCCCCCTCCCCGTGGAGAGAGAAGGGGACACCAAAGTCCCCGGTCACTGTCCTGCTCTCCTGTTACCCGGGGATGTGTATGTCACAGGTGATCGATCACACTAAACGTACTGCTCAGCAATTTGTTTTTCCCTTTTTAAAACATGGGCCAGTCAGTGGCACGGTGGTGACAGCGGCTAGACCCTACGTGACCAGCTGCGCGGTGAGAACCTTAGACCCAGGAGCTTGAAAACACACCAGGCATGTGTGAGTGCGTGGGCAAGACCTCTATAGGAGGGAGAAACGACAAAGAAGGATGGCATGACCATCTCCCATGGACGGAGCTTTGCGTGTGTACGTGTGTCTCTCTCTGGTGAGGACATAAGCCCTATAGCAAATTAAAAATTAGTTCATTAATTCTGGGGGCCTACAGGTGGGCATGGTGGAAAAGGCACTGGACTCCCACATGGCTGACTGCAGCTCAAGTCCCAGACCTGGTGGTTTGAAATTCGTGCCGGGCACATGTGCACGCGTGCCCAAAATCCTAAGAGGAGACTGGAGGAGAAGCGATTGTGGCATGGCCACCTGGCGGGTGATTTCTCGCTTTCTGTCTCTCTCTGTCTCTCTGGAAAGCTCATGTGTCCTTTATCGAAAACCTCTCTAAAAAAGAAAAATATCCATCCTGAAATTCATAGGGAATCTCAAAGGATCCTGGATAGCCAACAAAAAATAAAATTGGGAAACTCACACTTCCTGACTTCAAACAGATCACAAAGCTTTAGTAAATCGAAACAATATGGTAGCGGCATAAAGAGACACATAGATCAGTGAAAAAGACCAGAAATAAATCTTAACATACATAGTCAGATGATCTTTGACAAGGGCAATGAGGTGACTCAGTGGAAAAAGCAGCCTCTTCAACGAATGGTGCTGAAAAAATCTTACATCCACATGCAAAGCTATGACGCTGGACCCTTACACCATATACAAAAAACAATGAAAAACCAATGAAAAACCAGGACTATGAAACTGTCAGAAAGAAACAGGGAGATCTTCATGCATCAGATTCTGCAGTGATATTTTAGGTATAACACCAGAAGCACAGCCAACAGAGGAAGCACACGACGGGACTCCAAACGGAGCACTCCGAATGTGACGGGCAGAGCCGGGGAACGGCAAGGCGAGCTACAGATGGAAGGAGATGCTGGGCTGTCGGGAAAGTCATGGCGTGTTTTTCTATGATTTTCCATACAAAAATGCATCATGACTTTTCTGACAACCCAATACTTGCACATCCTATATCTGATAAGGGATAAATATTCAGAATATATAAAGAACTCCTACGACTCAACAACAAAGAATACCAAATGACTTGATGAAAAAAATAGGCAAAGAGGCCTTAAATAGGCACTTCTCCAAAGACGATACGCCAATGGCTGAAACCTGTGGGAAGATGCCCGACGTCACCACGCATCGGAGAGATGTAAGTAATAACCCCACTCTCACGTCACACCACTTCGATGGCTACTGACAAAAACAAGAAGAGAATAAGCACTGACGAGGAGTAGGAAAACAAGCCCTGGCAACCTACCGGTGGGGACGAGTGGTACAACTGCTACGGAACACGCAGCGCACTCAAAACCTTCCACACGGAGGCCAGCAGGTGGCCTGGAGGTTAAGGTGCTGGGTCCCACACAGCCGACTGTGCGGTTCGAGACCTGGACCTGCCAGCGTGGACATCTCACCGGGGTGTGCGCATGCTCAGGAGCCCAAGAGGAGTGAAGAAGGGCTTGCAGTGGCCATCTCCCCTAGGGGTGGTTTCTCACTTTCCCTCTTTCTCTCTCTGGCTAGTGTATGCATCCTACAGCAAAAACTGAAGAAATAAATTTTAAAAATAAAAATGGAACTACCACATAATCCAGCAATCCCATGTCTGGATATTCATTAAAAGAGTAAAAATGTCAGAGAGGGCCGCAGTCGCGGCTGTGCACACGGTGGACCACAATGTGAACTCCTGCCTGGTGGCTTGGAGGGCATGCCAGGTACGTACGAACATGCCCCAAAGCCTGACAGGACTGAAACGAGGAGAAGGGGTTACGGTGTGACCAGGCCCCGTCGAGGGTGCTTTCTCTTTCTCTCTCTGGTGAGTGTGTACACCCCTAAGAATAAATAACCACCAAAAACTAGCCATATGCTCACGCTCTATGGCATGAGGACGAGCAGCGTCACTCACAATGACCAGGGCCAGAGGCAGCACAGGAAGCTCTCAACAGAGGGGCACGAGCAAGCGCGGGGCAGTGGGTACATGTGCCACGGAGTGAGTGGAGCTGGAGGTCACTGTAAGACAGCCCTGAACCAAGTCTGTGTGGTTCTTACATGAGGTATCTGACAGTCAGTCAGAGAAACGAAAAGTGCTAGGCTGTCAGAGTCGGGGTACAGAAACAGGACACCCTGCGTTTTCCAACAATCTAATGGAAGTGTGGTTACCAGGAGCTGGAGAGAATGCCCACGGAGTTTCAGTCTTGCAAGATAACCAATTCTACAAACTCTTTTTCATGATGACTCGGAGGAGGTCAGCTGCTTCGAGATGAAGCAGAGTATCTCCTCCCTGCCACAGGCTGCCAGAAACTCACTGAAGCGGACGATGAACGCAAACTTCGATCTTTATGAGAAGCGTATGGCCACAGAAGTTGCTGCTAATGCTTCGGGTGAAGAGTGGAGGGTTATGTAGTCCGGATAAGGGGTGGAAATGACAGACAAGGTTTCCCCACGAAGCAGGGTGTCCTGACCCACGGCCGTGTCCGCCTGCTACTGAGGAAGGGACATTCCTGTTACAGACCACGGAGAACTGGACAAAGCAAGTGCAAATCTGTCCGGGGCTGCATTGTGGATGCCAATCTGAGCGTCCTCCAGTTGGTTATCGTTAAAAGGAGAGAAGGACATTCCAGGACTGACTGACACCACAGTGCCGCGCCACCTGGGGCCTAAGAGAGCTAGCAGAATTCGAAAACTTCTCAACCTCTCTAAAGAAGGCGATGTCCACCAGTGTGTTGTAAGAAAGCACTTACATAAAGAAGGTGAGAAACCCAGGACCAGAGCACCTAAGATTGAGCACCAGTGACTCCACGTGTCCTGCAACACCAACACCAGCGTACTGCTCTCAAGAAACAATGCACTAAGGAAAATAAGGAAGAGGCAGGATACGCTCAACTTTTGGCCAAGACAATGCAGGAGGCCAAAGAAAAACACCAAGAACAGATTGTGAAGAGACGCAGGCTGTCCTCTCTGAGAGCTTCTACTTCTAAGTCTGAATCCAGTCAAAAATAAGATTTTTATAAGAGAAACAAATAAGATCAGATCTCAAAAAACAAAAGAACTCTAGAAATCAATTTCATGACAATATGAATATACTTAACATGACTAAAGTAGACAATTTAAAATGTTAAAAAAGCGGGGACCAGCAGTTGGTGTAATGGCAATGTCATTGGACTTCCATGTGGCTCGATTCCCGGACCTAGTGGCTTACACTCACGCCGGGCGCGTGTGCGTGCGTGCCCAAGATCCCGAAAGGAGAATGGAGGAGAAGGGATTGCGCCGTGGCCATCCCCCTGGGGGATGATTTCTCACTTTCTGTCTCTCTGTCTGTCTCTCTCTGTCTTTCTGGCAAGTGCATGTGCCCTATAGCAAATACCTCTCAAAAAAAATTTAGAAAAAGAAAGATATATGTGATTAAATGTAAATTTAAAAAGTTAAAAAAAAAAAAAAAGGAAAATGGGAACAGAAAAGACAGGATCATTCAGACTTCTGTCTTGTTTATACCTTCAACTGTCCCTTGTCTTCTCTAGCTTTCTTTTTTTTTTTTAATGGTATTTGTTGAGCTCAGATTTATGAGGGCGGATGTGCTGACTACCAGAGAATAAGCAATGAAGGACATTCGCCTGCTCTCTCTGGGCTTCGTGTCCAGTGAATGAGCTAACGGCCTAGCGTCCTCCCTTCTCATTCAAGTGTCGCAGGAGAATTACACCGAGTTGCCTTCACCTCCTCTACTTTACTCTTTAGCCTACAACGACCTTCCACCCCCTCAACTGCCCTTTAATCTGGGACATCACCGTAACTATTTGGTCACCAAATCTACGCGCATTGTCAAATTACCCCAATTTGGTTACTATACATAGGTATCAAAAGAGTCACAACGGACCTCATGAATCTGCACAATTAGTATGTGAACCGAAACTAACAGTGGTAATTACACCCCACCAATGGCCATGTGGAGTTCTTTGGAAGCCGTTATGGTGGCTGCCCAGTTCAAATCATTTTTGCTTAATTAAACTCCAATAAATTTAAAAAAAAAAAAGAATCTCTGAGTTGTCACTGTGGAAAGAGAACCGAGGAAGACACACAACACGTTAAAGTGAGTGGGTGAAGGAGTCCCTGCCTTCTTACAGCAGAGCGTCTCTGCTTTCCAGTCCGTCCCCAGATCTACAGCAGACTGGAAGCCACGTCTTTCTTGGAAGGGGTGGGGTGACAGAGAGAGGAGAGGACGTGCTCTCGGTGGAGCTGGCAATCCTGGTCCCCCTCCTCACCGCTCACCCTCAGACTCGGGCACCGCAGACCCGCACAGGTTGGCCAAGCTGCCTGGCCTGACTGGGAGCACCGTCAGCCCTGTGGGCTCCGCTCCCACCAGGGAGCTTCCTACAACACCGCAGGGAGCACTGACCTGGGGGCTTTGTGCTGCAGGCTTCTGGCGGTATTGGACTTTCCGGCACCTTCTCTGCCACCGGAAGTGACGGCGTGTCTGAGACAGCCTGGTGCTTCCTGGGGGGAGTGTTCTGACAATGATTTTCCTGAAAAAAGAAATGAAATGATAAATTTATTTCTAAAAGTTATGGTGTTCATCTTCTTATATGCCACTAAATGAAACAAGACCACTCACTATAAAACATTATCACGTATTATCGGAACAGAAGAGTTGAGGCACGTGAACGAGCCCGCCTGTCTGCAGCATGAGCCCTAGCGCCAGTTCAGGTAGCTCCGGGCTTGCCTAAAGCCCTAGAGCCAGTTCAGGTAGCTTCCGGTTTGCCTAAAGCCCTAGAGCCAGTTCAGGTAGCTCCGGGCTCGCCTGAAGCCCCAGTTCAGGTACCTCCGGGCTTGCCAAGAGCCCTAGAGCCAGTTCAGGTAGCTCCGGGCTTGCCTAAAGCCCTAGAGCCAGTTCAGGTAGCTCCCGGTTTGCCTAAAGCCCTAGAGCCAGTTCAGGTAGCTCCCGGCTTGCCTAAAGCCCTAGAGCCAGTTCAGGTAGCTCCGGGCTCGCCTGAAGCCCTAGAGCCAGTTCAGGTAGCTCCGGGCTCACCTAAAGTCTAGGAAGCAAGAACAAAAATGCGCCCAGAGCTGTTTCAGATGAGCCAGTAAAGTGAAACCCGCACAGCGGCAAACAGTGACCTCAGCCCACACCCATAAAACCTGCAATACTCCCTGCATTTAGATTCCACTTCATTACCAGCTACTCAGAAAACGCAAATGGACCAGAAGATGCCGAAAGGAAGAAAGACTCCTCTAGGGCCTTCTGATCCATAGTGAGGCCGTAAGGGAAACGCCACCACTTTGTGTGTGCACTGCAGGATAAGACAGCAGGAGCCACCCAGAGAGGGGGAGAGGGAGAGCAGCCACCAGAGGCGGGGCTGAGGGGCATCGGTTACCCCTGACTGCCACCCACGCCTCCCCAGCCCTCCGAGCAGGTCCTACTGTGAACATGGAGAGTGGTAACCAGCCCACAGGAACCGCGCAGAAATCCAGGCACAGCAATCACCCCTTGTCCTTGGGGAGACATCACAAGACCCCCACTAGCTGCCTCAAACCACAGAGGTGCCAAACCCGACTTAGGCCAGGCCGCTTTGGATCTGCTAAGCTCGCCAGCCCCTGAGTGCCTAACATTAGCAAGCCTCGACATGCTGCTCACAGGGCAATCCAGGCCCCTGGCAGGAGCGAGGGTGGCATAAGGTTTCCTCATGCTACTCAGAATGAGGTGTGTATTAAAACTGAACAACTGTCTTTTTCTGGAATTTTCCATTTAATATTTCTGTACTCTGGTTGACCATAAGTAATTGAAACTCCAATCAAAGGGAGACTATTGCATCCTTATTCCAGAGCTAACTCCAGACTCTCTCTCCATATATATACACGCAAGCACACATAAACATATACATATCTTAAATTTTTACTTATTTAATTACTCGGAGGCAGAGAGAAGAGACAGGCACACAGGCACCCCCATCCATGGCGTCCCACCGCAGCCCGACCAGCAGGATGGCATCCGCGCCCAGCACAGGGAAGAGCCCAGGACATGAACTAGGGACTCTCCCGCGGGGGTCCAACTGTGTCACGGTCTGGCCCAGGACTTACTGTCCTATATGAGAAGATTCTGATGTATAAAGACAAAGTGAATGACCAAATGCTGGGACAGACTGCTGTAAGGGGGACAAGAATAGAGGAAGGGAAGAATAAGATGGGCAGGCACTTCAGAAGAGGGAGGGATCGCTTCCCGGCCCTTTGGCTAGGACCAAGACAGAAGGGCGAAGAGGGGCTGAGGGTACCGTGCGGGTAAAACCCGTGTGATCTGGGTACAGAAGAACTTGAACGTTTGCCGAGTAGGTGACCAGGTGACTATGGGAGGACAGGAAGCACCTGCACTCCTTCTCCAAGACCTAAATCGTGTCTCTGAAAACAGCCATAACTCACTGTGCTCCGCATCCTCCCACCGAGGATCACCGCCCATCACCGAGCAGCAGGGAAAGGAGCGGTGCTGGGGAGAGTCCAGGTAGGACCCTCAGTTTCAGCAAGTCCCAGCTGTACCACCCCTGGAGATGGCATTCACCTCCCCAAAGCTGAGAGATGAACTGAGGGTCCCAAATCCCATCTGAGGCTCAACAACCCCCCTCTGCTCCTGTTTGAGTCAGCTCTCACCCCCCCAGATCCTCTCTCTGTCACTCCCCGTCCCTAACAATGAACAGAACAGGAGCTGCCAGACACAAACCCATCTGTTTTCCGCCCAGCTGCTCAAGGGTACTAGCCCACCCGTTTTCCTTCCCATCTACCTCAGGAGGAGCAGCCGTAACGGGCTCTAGCCTTCCCCCTGTGCTCGGGGTGCACCTGCTCCCTCTCATCCCTCAGGTGCCATCTCTTCCTGGTGAAAGCCCGAGTGCAAAGGGTTGAAGAGAGGACAGAGGGAGAAACTGGAAGCACCAAGCAGAGACAACCCTTGTGGAAGTGCTCCCATAAAAACAGCAAAGAGGGACCAGCAGTTAGCGTAATGGCTATGTCGCTGGACTCCCACGTAGTCGACCGCAGTTCAAGTCCCGGACCCAGTGGCTTAAACTCACGCCGGGCATGTGTGCATGCATGCCCAAGATCCCGAGAGGAGAATGGAGGAGAAGGGATTGTGGTGTGGCCATCCCCTCTGGGGGGAGTGACTTCTCGCTTTCTGTCTCTCTGTGTCCCTCTCTCTTTCTGGTGAGTGCACGTGCCCTATAGCAAAAACCTCAAAAATAAATAAATAAGTAAATAAATAAAACAAGGGTGAGAAGTGTCTCTGTTTTAAGATGACGGATAGTAACTTGCACACTGACACGAGGGTCAGTGTGTTTCTTTCCTCCTTCGAGTACAAACTGATGAGCTGCTGCTCTGAGCCAAGCAGTAAGGACACCGAGATGGATAGGCTCTCACAGACGGCAGTGGCCCGCAAGGCTCCCGTTCAAAGGAAGTCAGACACCCCAGGGAGACCTGCACAGGACAGCAGGGATGAAGGGAGACAAGGCCCTCTGAGGAAAGGCCAGCTACGAGCCTCGGGAACAACCCTGGGCCTGGTAAATAGGAGCCCCCCAGACAAGCCAGACAGAGGCAGAGGCTGAAGGCCCAGAACAGCTGAGATGCCGCACAGGTCCTCACGGGGGACCAGCACGCCTGGGGAGGCACGGCGGAGTGCCTGAGTAGGATCAGTACACGGTAAGCTGAGCAGTGCAGACCGCATTCTGCTGCGGGCTATGGGGAGCATTCCAGGATTTTAAGCAAGTAAAAACATAAATAGATGCATTTCTCTGGCAGCAATGGCTAAGATGGCTTGGGTTGTAGCCAGACTAGAAGCAGGGTGTCCCTGCAAGGCTCTGCTAGAGATTACAGCACAGGCAGGGGACTGGAAGACAAGGCAGCCTGGAGAGAGACTTAGGAAACTTACCACTGCACAGTGAGTGTGCGCGTGCACTGCCGTGAGTGTGTGTGCGCACGTGCACTGCCGTGAGTGTGTGTGTACAGCAGTGAGTGTGTGTGTGTACACTGCAGTGAGTGTGTGCGTGTGTACACTGCAGTGAGTGTGCGCGTGCACTGCCGTGAGTGTGTACAGCAGTGAGTGTGTGCATGCACGTGCACTGCAGTGAGTGTGTGTGTACAGCAGTGAGTGTGTGTGTACACACACTGCACAGTGAGTGCATGCACACTGCATGGTGAATGTGTGTGCATGTACGTGTCCCAGCAGATGGGAAGACAGTGGACGAGAGGAAGGAGCCAAGGGAGAACTCCCAGACTTGGAGGACGAGGTGCAGACCAAAGCCGCAGTGCAGACAGACTGCAGGACGAGACAGTGAGCCAAGCAGAGAGCTCTCCCAGCCCGCCAGCCCGCAGCTGGGGGAGACCCTGGGCGCAGCAGGGCTGAGCACCGTTGGCATCTGTGAGGGGAAGGCCGAGTCTGACGCGGGGCAGGGAAGAGAGGCCTCGGGGCAAATGGAAGGAAGGCTGCGGCCAGAACTCTGGGAAACGTGATCTGTTAAGCAAGAGGGCGAATAAAACCAAAATCAACCGAGCAGGTCTCCCGGGGAATGCAGTGAGACTGCCCTTCCACCCAGCAGTCTCTGTAGCTATCACGCGGCCGCATGCGCACCTGGGTGGGCTCTGTGTGGTAGGCACTGACACGGCCATGGCTCACTTTCGTAGTAGGGACTTTGGTGAGGACTAGTAATAGAATTTGACTGGAGTTACAAGGAATCTGGGAGGCGTGTGCTAACGGAAAGGATTAGACAGGCCATCTAAAAGCATGGTATTTGGAGAAGCGTAGTCATTAATAAGAAAAGCAGATTCTGAGTAGCATTTCAGAATCAGCATCTAAGAATGTTAAGAAGCATTTTAAATTAAAAAAATGATAATTTTTTTTTAATTTGATTTTAAGACCATCAGTGAATGAAGAGTTTAAATGAAATGGGAAAAAATGTCACAAGAAAGACAGAGTTGGGGGCCAACAGGTGCCGTGGTGGTTAAGGGCACTGGATTCCCACACAGCCAAACACAGTTCAAGTCCCAGACCTGGCAGCTTGCTTTCTCACTTTCCTTCTCTCTTTCTCTCACTCTGTCCCTCTCTGGTCAAATTTAAAAGTAAATAAATAAATAAAGTAATTTTTTTTTTTTTAAAAAGGCAGAGTTGGTTGGAACTTAACTGTCCCACTTAACTATGTCCCATCCCAATCTTGAGCTCTTTAGAACTTAGAACAGTCAAGTGTGTAAAACATTCAATGTATAGAGCTATACATGAGATCCTAACACCACTTGGGCACCGAGTTTGTTTTTATTTCTTGTTCACTTTACCTGTTTGGTTTCTGGCTGTTTGCTTCTTGAATTTTTGCCCTTCTCTGCACTCCATAAATTGCCTTTGTCAAACCGGCCACGAAGACATGCTAGTTCTTTTTCACGTTCCTAGATTCATCAAGAATTGTATTTTACACAAGAGTAGCATGATTAGGAGTAATATTTAAAACATTACTAGAACTTTCCTTTTATTTAGTTTTAGGATGAAAAAGTTTACAAATGCACATGGAACACAGAACAAAGAATTCCAATTTAAAATAATTGATAGAAAAAGTCAAGATGCTATTAATCTAAGTCAAAAAGTGGTATCACTGGGACCAGCAGATGGCGTAACGGCCATCCCATGTAGTTGACCATGGTCTAAGTCCTAGACCTGGTGGCTTAAACTCACACCAGGAGTGTGTGTGTGTGTGTGTGCGTGTGTGTGCCCAAGATCCTGAGAGGAGAATGGAGGAGAAGGGATTGCAGTGTGACCATCCCCCCCGGGTGGGGGTGGGGGCGTGCGATTTCTCGCTTTCTGTCTCTCTGTCTCTCTCTGTCTTTCTGGCCAGCGCACATGCCCTATAGCAAAAACCTCTCCAAAAAAAAAAAAAAGACTGGTATTAGAAGTTCGAAGTGACACCAGTGGTGTGGTGGTTAAGGCAGCTGGGTCCCACACAGCTGACCACACGGCTGAGCTCTAGACCGTCTGGCTGGAAGCACACACCAGGCACATGGGTATGCATGCCCAAAGACCCAAAAGGAGGGAGAGATGGAGGTGGAGGGACTGCGGCACGGCCATTTCCCGGGGGACGTTTTCTCACTTCCTCTCTTTGGTAAGCACACTAACCTTCTGGAAAGCAGAGGAAAGAAGTCACATTTGACTTCTGGGATCGGTGCTGCCCCCGCACAGTAAGTCAGAGAGGGGTACCTGCTTGAGCTGGTGTGCCAAGTGTGTAGCAGACGAAGATGCGTTTTGCTTGAACAATCTTTCTCGAATGGCCTTTGTATTTGGAGTGATGACGGGGGTCCTCTGGGGTGTGCTACGAGCTGGACTTTCTCTGCTGTGTTCCTGACAACGCTCTCCAAAGCGTTCCAAGAAAGGCTTAATCCCTACTCCTCCTGTAGAAAATATACACATTTTTGGAAGCTGTTCAAAAAAAGTAATAATTATGAGTTCTAAGGAAAAATTTCTCAAGTACATTAAGGATCCAAAATGCTTTGATTCTTCTAGAAATATTTACTCACAAAGCAAGCAGTATGTAAACAGGTAAAAATTTAATAAAAAATATTTACCATACTCGGGACCAGCAGTTAGCATAATGGCTACGTCGCTGAACTCCCATGTAGTTGACCGTGGTTTGCGTCCCAGACCTGGTGGCTTAAACTCATGCCGGGTGCATGTGTGTACGTGCGTGCCCAAGATCCCGAGAGGAGAATGGAGGAGAAGGGATTGCGGCGTGGCCATCCTCCCTGGGGGGTGATTTCTTGCTTTTTGTCTTTCTGGAGAGCGCATGTACCCTATAGCAAAAATATTTACCAGACTATCTATTGCATTCAATTACATGTCCTAAAATCTATTTATAAAACTTAGTTCTTTCAAAAACAAATTAAAGTAAAAATAGTTAGAAGGCAGTGGAGGTTAGAAAACCTTCAAGCTAAACAAGCAGAATCTGAACGAGTGGGAATGAGACAGTACGTGCTAATAAATCTACCCCTGCCGTCAGCTGTCCTGGCCACGGTGACTCTCACCCACTTACATTTCTACAGCCAATTTATTTTCTCTTGCTTTTAGGAAATCTAACATGTGTACTAGTTTTCAATTTGTCCGTCAAAAAAAAAAAAATGAGGGACTATTTGCTTTATTGAAGGGATGTCTTGATTTTGCGACGTCTTAAGACAGTACTCATCTGAGACAATACGGAGGACACTAGTGTGGGTGGGTGGGTATGTGTCACGCCCACAAAGACGGAGGGTCGCAGGCTATAACCCGGGCTCAGCTGCAGCGGGGGTGGCCAGGCTTCGCGAGAGCCAGCTGGCGAACGTCTGGTGCTCGGCGGCCGAGAGGGCCCTGCTGCAACTACTTGAC